TTCCCTTGAATGTCTACTGCCATGATATCTCTTGTTATTATCTATATACATATATCTATTTTTGTTATCTTTTTATCATCATTTATTTTTTTTTTTTTATTTTTTTTTTTTTTGCATTTCCAGTTCGATCTCAGTAATCCTCTCTTTTCCTTTTTTTTTTTTTTTTTTTTAAAATCCTATTTTTGCTGATGTGTTTTGTATTGCTGTAGAAAAGGACCTTAGGTATAGTGCTACTGACTGAGACAACCATCCACCTATGCTCATAATCTGTGGTAATGTTAGACCTGCCTTCATTGCACCTGTTGCCCCACCAATTCGAAGGCTGTGTCTTGAGTATCTCCCTTCTAGCTTAGCATGATGTGCCATCCTTTTTACAGCTGCACTTACAGTTCCTGTTGACATGCGTTTTCCTGATGTGTTTAAGAATAACAATTTCTGACTTTCAACTTCCCTCTTTCGTTTAGATATTCATTGACCAGCTTTATGGGGCAATATGGTGAATTTGTCAGATCTACTGGAATGAATTTCCCTTTGGCAAACTGATCAGTTTTGGATCTGTTTATCCTGACCCAAAAAAGTCTCTTATCCATCTTTATATCTGCTACGTGAAGATTACACAGTTCAGCCAGTCTTCGTATGGTACAGATTCTCAGTACAATCATAGCACAGTCTCGCTTCCATATTAGCTTGATGGCATTTTGAGGTGGGTTTTCTACATAATTGTGTAGAGCTTCCACTGGGAAGGGATTCCATGGCCATACTGCTTCTTTATCAATTGCTGTGTGCTTCATTTGGTTACGGACCAATCGTTGAACATTAAAGTTTTGGGTTGGGTCTGGGAACTCCAGTCTATGATGGTAATGGCTAATAGCTACCAAATATAGGCGTGGTTTAACAGGTTTTCGTAGTAGGTTAAGCCAGGTTAAAAACATTAATAAGGAGTCAGAGTGGGCAGGGCACGGAGTTAACTTGTGACTTAAGCAGATGGTTACAAATTCATCCCACAAGCTCATAAGTCGTTTTTTGTATGATGATTCAAATGCTATTGTTTTATGTGCTTTTTCAAGTAAAGCTTCTAGGAACAAACTCTTACTACCTGGAATCTCCAATGTGGGTTCTTCCATGGTTCTGGTAGCATATTGCTCCATGGGTTTGGCAAGAAACAGTTGACTGCTGGTGGTAGGTTCATTACTTCATATTGTCCTGCAAAAGAGTTGGCCACCACGTGGCTGACGGCTATACTGGTATAATTATTATTACTACTGTTTGGGCTTGGGTTATATGTCCGAACATTCTTTGAATTAAACTTAATGGGGGACACACATAGTTATTTTCATGTTCCCAGACTTGAGTAAAGCAGTCTATTGCATCTCGGAACAGAAAAATCGGCTGTTGAAGCATGCCACTTTTCTTGTTTGGTGACTGGCCATTCGGTCTACTGTAAAAGGCCCCCACTTCGCACTTATTTGTGTATATACATTCTGAGTTACTTCCTAATCGGAGTTGTCGATGAATCGTGTCAGTTCGTCTGCTGGGTTTAACTTTGAAGGTACCCATTGAAAGCCATGGATTTGCACATCATGATTGTCACAAAAATCCCAGATCTGGCGCATTACTTCTTTTTGTCATGGTCTTTTTCCCCCTGATTCTATTGTTTTTCGGGCCACATGATTGTCTATGTATATAGTAACCCAATGATTTGTAATTATATGGGCAAATGACTCGAGACTCAGTAGCACCGCTGTTGATTCGAGGTGTGCAATATCTGTGTGCTGGTGGTGGTTGTCCCAATTTCCAAATGCTAACATTTTGCCTGTGGTTGCCGACCAACCTGTTGTCGAGGCATCTACATATAATGGAATTATTCGTAAAGGTTTCCATGCAGGGCGTCCATTTTTTGTTCTTATATTTTCTTGTATCTATTTTATATCTGCAATGGCCTGGTATGTTAGTTGTACTGATTTGTCCCATTCCCAAGGTCTTTGGTTTTCTGCATCGATTATTGTGTAAAATTCCATACAACAGGTTTTTGTATATGTGAAGGCTCGGTTCAAACTCATTATTTGGCCTACTATAGATGATAGGCGTCGTGCTGTTAGGGAATTCACTGATAGAAGGCTCTGAAGATTTGTTAAGGTGGTGGTTATCTTGGATTCTGATGCAGTGATCAGACCTGTTATGGTGTTCAAAACCAATCCGTATTACTTCGGTTGTTGGGTCAGTTCTGGTTGTCCTTTCTCAGCCAATATAAACCCGCAATTTTTTAGATCCTGAAATATTATCGAGTTCCTTATCTGGATCAATATTTTTTGGCATGAATGGGTGATCCATATATCGTCGAGATGGTTTCCACAAGAAATTCCTAATGCCCTCCAATGACCAATTAGTGGTCTCATTACTTTCGCGAAAGTCCATACTGCCAAGCTTAGGCCGAATGGTAGAACTTGGTAATAATACCAATTTTTTCCCACTTTGAACCCTAATAATCTCTGAGCTTTTCTGTCCATCATTATGTGGTGATAGCCTTCCTTTAGGTCCAACACTACCACCCACCAATCTTTTTCTGTCATTCTTAAGAAGGTTTCGAAACCTTCAAATCTGAATACTTTTTCTGGAAGTGTTCTGTTTAGGCGTCTGAGGTCGATAATTAGACGCCATTTCTTTGGGCCAGGCTTCGGGGTCAGAAAAATTGGGCTTACTTCGAGCAATTGTGGTGGTCTGTTTGTTGAATTTGAAACATAAGTTATCACTCCTATCACTAGTAATCTCTTTATTTCTAAGTCTAACCAACTTGTTTGGTTCTTTGTTAGTATATAAGGGGATGGGTCTGGTTGTAATGTCAAATTTAATAGCCCCTTTGGATACAACGGAATGCCATTTTTCAACCAGTTTAGGACTAATTTTGGTGCTTGAATTTTTTGTTCCCAGTAATTTACATGTGTTAAGAAATGTAACCGTCCCACTACTGGTATTACTTGTTGGGCCCGAGTGTAGTCAGTTGCGTTTGTTATCATTATGGGGTCCAGAGTATTTATTTCGGTAGGTTGTATAACCTCGAGAATGGTAACCGAAGTTTCTTTCTTGCCGTTGATTGTTATTTTTGTAGGGGTCCGAGGGATATGCATTTGCGAAGTGCCCTGAGCCCCCACAGATGTAGCATTTATTTGACTGGTGTGAGACTTCATAGTGGGGTTGGTAACTTGCACGAAAAAACTGTCCTTGGCCGTAAGTAAGATTTTGACGGTTATTTTGGTATCTAGTTGAAAGGTTGTTTGGATAACGGTTTTGGTAACTAAATTTGTCATGTTGGTTATCAACACTCTCTATTTGGTCCGTTATTTTTCTTCGTTTATTTTTCTTTGTATCTGCAATGGCCTTTGCTTTTTCTATTACTGATTCTTTGCCTTTTAGCAATTTATCTTGTGTATTTGGTAATGCAGCAATGACATCCCATCCAAATCCTTCTGCTACGCGTAATGTAAAAATCCTATCAGCAGTTAATTCTCGTGCCCTTATAATATGGCTTGTACATTCTGTTACTGCTTTAGATTCCATCGCCAAGTCCAATTCCTTTCCAACAGAACATAACGTATCATACTCAAACTGATCACGAGACCTTTCGAATTTATGATCTGGTCATGCTTCATTATTGTTAGTTTTTTGCACTTGGGCTGTTACTGAATTTAGTTTATCATCAAATCCAGCCATAAGGCTCCTTAGATTTCTGAGTTCCGATACCATCAGACATTTCAGAGAGTCTGAGTGGTCGTAGTCAACATCTTCAGGTGATTGTCGTTTGTTCTTTCCTTTTGGATACTTGATCTTTCGATCGTTTACTTCTTGTATAGGGTTTGGTTTTGTGGTACTTTGCTGAGTCACTGATGGTTCTGTTACATTATTGTATTTGGTTCTTAAGGCATGTTCCCTTAATATTTGAATCGGGGTACCTTCCTCATCCATTTCTAGATCGTTCACATAATTTTCTCCTTCAGTCATATGAGTATCTCCATCGTCATCATCATAATCTCCTTCAACTAAAATATCATTTGTCGAATTTAACGGAACTGAGTTTGGCAACAACTTTGCTGAGTGTATCTTTAATCTTTGTACTAGGTCCGCTTTTACCCCTTCAGTTGGAAGACCAAGGTTTCGACAAATGTCCTCCAGATCGTTCTTTGATAGGTTTGAATCTGTCATACTGAACACGTGATTTTTATATATTTGTGTACGTACGGTTTTTTTTTTTTTTTTTTTTTTTGGTTACTACCGGGTAAAGGTTTTAAGTTTTGAATAGTCGTATCCTGTTGGGTAAGGTTTTTTTTTTTTTTTTTTTTGGTTACTACCGGGTAAAAGTTTTAAGTTTTGAATAGTCGTATCCTGTTGGGTGAAGGTTTTTTTTTTTTTTTTTTTTTTACTTCTTTAACTGGTTATTTCGACATGTATTTGTATTTTGTTATATATCATTATATATTATTATTATGTATATGTGTTGTCTTCACTTGAAATTTTCTTGTTTTTAAGAAAGGCGCCACAGAACGAAAGAGCCAGAACAAATTCGGGCAGCGAAGAAAAAAGGCACTGCCGATCCCAAGTTTCACGATTTTCCTTTTTAATGGCCATTTCCAGTTTCATGTCTGTTTCGGGGTTGGTCCAGGGTGATCCTCGCGATAATAACCTTAGCATGACTATCGTCATGCGTCAGTCATTACTAATTATTTATTTAGTCCTCATGTGATTTTTTATATTTTCTTAACATTCAATAATGACCTCTTAATGCTTCTGCATCATTTGGATTCAATGCTGATGATTGCAAACGATTGATAATTTTTGCATTGTCTGATGATCATTAATCTAAAAGAAAATGGTAATATCTACTGTTACGGGTAATATGTCGAGTTCGGAGATGGGGCAAATGCGACGGATTGTCGCTTGAAAAATGGTTATGCCGCGTAACGTTCCTCAAAGATATTAGAGGCG